GTGTCCCAGCAGGGATCGCGGGGCGTGTCCCACCAGGGATAGTGGGGCGTGTCCCAGCAGGGATCGTGGGGCGTGTCCCAGCAGGGATCGAGGGAAGTGCTCCAGAAGCAAATAAAGGCTTTCCTTAAACATGACGGAGTTCTGGTGAAACCTGCTGTCCTCTCTGATCTGTACTAACAAAAGCCGAAGGAAGAATATCAGGAGCTGGAGCAGATAAACGTTTCCTTGCTTTCTTATCACCGCTGTACTGAAGGGGTTTTTCCATTTATCCTACTTGACGCTAAATAAGAATGAGAGGAGATACCAATCCCTGGCAGGGACGGGTTCTTAGGAATGGACCAAAGCATTGCCACGAGCTGACGCATTTGTCAGCCTGGCTGAGCTCTCAGCTCACTTTCGAGTCCTCATTTTAAAATTGTTGGCGGCTGCCCCATCGTTAGCACTAGTTGATAATGCTTCTGCGGGGTGGTAGGAATGGCTTCTGTTTGAAGTGGGCAGATCCAAAGACAAGATGATATGGTTTGCAATACTTTGAGTGGGGGCTCGGGCTAGTGAAGATGAGCACAGTTTTGGCTTTAGCTTTGCTGTCGTTCTCCTCTCATGCCATCTCCTACCTGCACATCACACCTCACCTCCTCATGTAGAGGAGCTCCGCAGCTTTGTCCTCCCCCATTTGCTTCTACCTCGTAGCACAGCATTCTTACTGAATGGAGGGAGTTGAGGCAGACTTTAAGGGTACGGGACTCTCACCCGAGTCACGTCAGGCAAAGGGAAGCCCGGAAGAACAGAAGGATGGATTCCAGAGAGAAGCCAAAGGGGAGTTTCTCTCTGCGGAGATCCCAGCAGAGCTGGTGTTTCACCATGGGGTGCAGCTGGGCAGCGTTTGTTTCTCTGGTCATGTCGGTGTGAAGCCCCTTCCCGTTGCCTCAGTTCGTGGTGCTGCGTTGAACCCCGGTACTCGAAAACTGTTGTCCGATGCGGACCCGGCGCGGACCCGGCTCGGCCCCGGGGAGTTCCCTGGGAGCTCGCTCGGGGCGGTGACACCAGCACTCGGGACACGGGCCAGGGCTGGGATCCGTCAGGCGGCCCCTCGGAGCCGAGCACTCAGTCCCGCCCGGCGCGGAGGCGGAGGCGGCGCGGGGCCCGCCGGGAACCGCAGTCCCGGTCGCCGCCATTTCTCCCTCCGGCAGCGCAGGGGGCCCGGCCGCGGTGACTCGGGCATGGAGAGCGGCTTCGGTTCCGACTTCGGCTCCGGAGGAGGCGGCGGGGGGAAGCTGGACCCGGGGCTCATCATGGAGCAGGTGAAGGTGCAGATCGCCGTGGCCAACGCACAGGAGCTCTTACAGGTCAGAAGCGGCGGTGGGGCCGGGCGGGGGTGGCTCGGTCCAGGTGCGGGTCGCTGGGGACGGCTAGGCCGCCCCGCTCCCCTCGCAGTAGGGGCGGCGGCTGCGGCCGGAGCCCCCGGGCCGCGGTGCCTCTCACAGGCTCTCTCCGCAGCGGATGACGGACAAGTGCTTTCGCAAGTGCATCGGGAAGCCCGGCGGCGCCCTGGACAACTCCGAGCAGGTGAGGACGGGCGGGAGAAGTGGAGACCCGCGGGCCCCTAGCTTGGGGCTGTCGCTGAGACTCTGTGTCCCGCAGAAGTGCATCGCCATGTGCATGGACCGGTACATGGACTCCTGGAACACAGTTTCGCGAGCCTACAATTCTCGGCTGCAGCGGGAGAGAGCCAACATGTGACGCGTACCGGCCTCCGGGCCGAGAGGGACCATGTGGGGAAGGGACAGCGACAGTCCAGGTGGTTAGGGGTGAATCCTGCTGCCCCTTCCCAGCCCTTGCCATGGCAGAGCAATAAAACCTCACTGAACCTTTTGCATCCATTGACTTTTATTAGCACCAGCTCCAGGAGAGTGTTTGTTTTTGTTTTTTTTCATGAGCTGCTCGGTTTACTTCTTGCCCTTCCCGAGTGTGCAGACTGGTCCAAGACATTATATCAGTTGATAAATCCTTGCTGAAAGGGCTGCGACAGGCAAGGAGCCTTCGGTGAAAAACAGGGGCCAAGCCAAGCCAGCAACACAGTACCCTTGCTCGGAATTCCAGCATGGACCCATCCATAAGGTAGTTACCCAGTCCCTTTTCATAAGCGGAAAAGCTACCAGAAGATTCTCCGTGTGCTACTTTGGCTCTTTCATCCCTTATATCTGTATAGCGCTATGTGGGGTTATCTTAGAGCTCGTAGGCTTTGGCTCAGCTCAGGCACAGTGTTGGTGAGCTGGACAGCCTCGCAAATAGTTGTATGAGCACAGCTAGAGATGAACAGGGTTGGGAAATACTTAGGTTCTTTTCTTTATAGAATAAAGTGTGTTGTGTGGCTGTGATACTCTGTAATTTCTGGTTTGGCTCTGGCACAGATGTTCCATCTTGGAGCCCACATCCTAAGCATAAGTTTTTTAATGAGGGAGCATGTCTGCAGCAGGGGATGTGGGTCTGCTTTGGGGCACAGTTCTGTTGTTTTCTGCTTACACACTGCTCCTGAAAAGGTTGGGTTCGTGCTGTGTGGTCAGCAGTGGATATAACAGCTGCAAGAGGAAAATGTTGGAGATTAACTTTTCTTTATGGCTGTGTGAATTTTGTGGCACGGGCTGTGCAGCAGTCCCATTTTGTTCATGGGAGCATCCCACAGGTGTTCCAACCGTGAATCTGGACTCATCTGGAGCTGAGCCATGCCTGGAAGCCAGGTCTCCCACCTAGCTCGTGCTCTGTGTCAGAAAGTTGAGGCTTTTGCTGCCAGCGTGGTTGGGATGGAAGAAACCTCTTGCTGTGCCCAGATGCAGAGCTTAAAGCACCAAAAATAAGGAAGGGGTTTGGGGTAGGAGCAGCTATTCAGTTTTGGTGGCTGAATTGATGAAGTCTGCTCTGCCCAAGACTTGGCACATGAGCTCTGCCGCAGTTCTTTGCTTGTGAACAAAGTTGCCTATGTGTCTTATGCTGCTGGGACCTGACAAGTATACTTTGCACCACTATCTCAGCATGTCAAATTTTTCCCACCTAGCTTAGCCAGACAGTGGCTGTGTGGCCATGCCTTAATAGTTGCCAGTTTAATCACCTGTTACCTAATTTAAAAGGAGCTGCAGGAGGGTGAGTGAGAAGCCCCTCATAATACTCTAGTGCCAATGAGGGCCTGTGCAGTCTGAACTCCGAAGTGTTCTAGTCCTGCATTCTCTTTGGATCAAATGGTGAGCCAGGAGGTCACCACTGAGCTCTCTAGTAGCACACCCTAATTGGAAACAGCATCACACCCTTCCCAAAAGCTGCTGCACAGCACAACAGCTCCATCAAGTCAGTGAGGTCTGAAAGCTTCTGCAAGGGCATGACTTTGGGATGGGGCAAAGGTCACAAGTCTGTTGGCTTGGCTTTGGGATGACAGCTCATAGGCAGAGGTCAGGCAAACTCCACGAATCTTTGGCAGATGTTTCCAGCACCCATCCAACTAGAAAGGTCATGTTTTAATGTGCAGTATTATGGCCAGGTCTTAAGATGGGACAGGTTTCATTTATTTATAGAAAAGGTCTAGAATTTGTACCACTCTATGCAAAGCAGTTATCAAATGCCTTGGTATAACAACCAGCAGGCCACACAACACTGGCATTTGCTTAATACCTGCAAGGCCATCTTCACCCCTTTGCAACATCAGGAAAATGTACAGTAGCTGAGGGGTTAGTGCATCCTCTGGCAGTTATTCCTCTCATTCATCGCCTTCCCTGAGTGGTGAAATGCAGTTTCAGAGCTTGAGGTTCTGCACAATCCAGCCCTGGACAGCTGTGACTTTGGTGTAGACACCAGGGAAGTATGGCCTGGCACAGCCATAGCCCCAGCTTGTGATTCCTGCTAGAAACCACTTCCCTGAAGGTTCTTTACATGCCAGGGGCCCACCTGCATCACCCTGCAGAGAGAGGAAAAGGATCCAGTATCAAGCCACAGGCAGTGCAGCTCCCCCAGCTGTGAAACATTCTCTCTGGGGCATGGGCATTTGCTGTCCTGTTCCCCACTTCCCCAGGAGCCCCATTCCAAGCTGGAGGACTGCTCAGTGATGTACGTGCATGAACAATCTGAGGCTGGGATTCTGGAACATAGAAGAGTGTGTTTGGAGGTACAGTAGGGTCATGGAACAGGCTCCATGTGGTCTCTTACTTAGCATTACCTCTCTGTGTATTTACCTAACCAGGTTGGTGGGGCAAGCAGCATGAGGTGTATACAGGATGGACATGGATAAAAGCAGCATCCAGTTGATGGATGGACAGACAGCTGAGCTAGGGGAGGCAGGGCAGGGCAATCCTGAGAGCATATAGTCTAGGGACTTGGTGTGAGCTTTCTCTGTCCCAACTACAGCATTTGCTGCTCTTGCACTCACTGAACAGCTGTCGACGGTGCCCTGTGGGAAACCAGCACACAGCATCCTGCTGCTGATCTGGACAGGATAGAACTTTTTGCAGGCCTGGTCTCCAATGATGTTCACTGCTGCTTTTTGCAGATGCTTTGACATGAGACCTGAGGAGACAAGTATTGCTGTTAGCTGGGTGAAGAGTACATGAGAAACAGCAGCATGTGAAGAAGTGGGGTTTCTGCAGCCTTGCTTGCCAAAGGGAGAGACCTGCTCTGGGAAAGTGACTCATGCCTGGTTCAGCAGAGCAAACACAGGAAGGTCTCTTGGGTGTGTAGTTTGTCAGGCAGCTTGGCTGACCAGACACAAATGGTGGTCCTTGTACTGCAAGAGCACAGCTGAAGCAGCTGCTGTGAGGATGGAGAGCACAGTGGCTGGCATGTAGAAAGCTTGGGAAGGCTGCAAGAGGGCAGAGGTTTGATAAAATGGAAGAGTAGTGTGCGTGGTAGCTGGGGAAGAGATGATGGCAACACCAGGCCTTGCCCCGCTTGGTATCTTCTTGGCAGTGAGTGGCCTGGATGGGAGTGCTTGGGGTAGTGGTGTGGGAACTGCAGATGTTTGGGCTTGCAGTATTGCAGTGTAGGTGGCCAAGCATTGAGCTTGGCCATCATGCATATGGGAGGGCCCTCTCAGCCAGTACCTCCTTCCTTTGTGGAGCCCCAGCCTGTGATGAAGCATCTGGCCCCTTCATGGAAGATGTGAGAATTGTCTGGGAGACATATAGGTCTGATGGTGCTGCTGAATGTGACAGGTCTGCTTAGTTCCAGTAGTGCTACATCGTAGTCTAGGCTGTAGACGTTGTAAAAAGGGTGTTTGTAGATACGGAATATTTTCTCCATTTTGCCATCGATGCCACTCAGGAAGGGTGTTCCTAGAAAGGCCACCCACATTTTGGGGTCACTGTAACTGCAGAAAGACAGCAAACCTGGCTGTTAGGAGCACCGCCTCACAAGGAGGGCTATCCCTCCACTTGTGGGGCTGGCCACACCTTGGAGGTCAGGACCCCTGTCTCCACAACAGTGGGTGTACTCAGGCTTTGTTCCACCCATTCCTCTTAACACTTGCCTGTAGGGGCGTTTCTCTGATAGGGGGTGCATTCTTCCTGTGGGGCACAGCATCCCAGCCAGGGTGCTGGACCACAAGGGAGGGGAAGGGCAAGTTGGCTGATGGGACTGAGGCAAGAGCCAGCTGACTTAACTAGCTCATCTCAGACTTACATGTCAAAGCAGTGAGCTGCAGAGAGCAGCCACTGGTCAGCAATGAGGACAGCCCCACATTTGTGCTCCTTCTGTCGAAGCCAGAGACTGACTTGCCAGGGCCATTCTCCTCGAGCTGCACTGCTGCCACCCACGATCTTGCTGGAGGCCAGAGCAGTTGTTAAGCCACAGTCTGGAACAGAGGAAGAAGCACCATGGTTTTAAGTAACCATAAATGAAAGGAATGACTGCTTGCCTTCTATAACCTGTGCTGTGGGACAACCTTCTGGGGGAGTACGTACAGGGCAGTAAGATTTGATGAATTCAGTTCACCCAGCTGAGGCAAGGCTTGACAGACAGGGTATATTTTGCAGACTTGTTATCACAGATCACACCTTCCAGGGATGTGGTATATTGGGAGCGGATATTTGGATGGACTGTCTGAGGTATCACATGGCAAGGAATGTGTGGCCCAAAGTGCAGTCCCAGGGATGACAAGACACTTTTTGGGCTGCCATGTTGTGCAGAGCTATCTTGCCACTTTGTGCTACCACACTGACTGGCCAAAAGGCCTGTGTGCTGGGAAATGAGTTCTAATGTCTGTAGAAGAGGCCACACTTTCTGGCAGTAAATTTGGATCCAGCTCTGTCCTGGGGTGACTTTATGATGCTTGTATCCCCAGTTGTCTGTTCTGTTTGTGTTGGATATTGAGCTGGATATACAGCTTTATCTTGTTTTAGGCTCTGGCAGAGCTGGCCTAGGCCCCCAGTGTCTGTGCCCATGACAGCCAGTGTGAATATGGTGGGTGCCACTGTGGAATCTGGGTCATGTGAGGCACAGCTGGCAGCAGCCACGGGCTACAGGGGAGAACTCACCACAGTTGCGCTCGTCGAAGCCGTTGCTGCAGTCCACAACACCATCACATTCGGGATTTTCTTTTCCAATACACACCTTGCTGGAACACTTGAAAGTGAGGCTGGTACAAGGCACCACTGGAAGGCAAAAACCCATGGCATGCTCAGTACCCTCTATGCTGGAGGCCTCCTGCCAACATGTCAATGCATCAGTTATCAGTTTTACCTGGGGTTTGGGTAGGCTTGGCAGTCTCAGTTGTTCTCAGAGCTGTGGAAGTTTCACTCATGCTTGTGCTCATCTTCGTCCCCAGGGTGATTCTGCTGACTGCACTTGTAGGCATTGTGCTGGGCTGGGTAAAACTGGCTGTGATAGAAGTTCTAGGGATCGCTGAACTGGAAGGGATGCTTGTGCCACCACTGGGCAACTGGGAGATGGTGTCCAGGATCCAGTTTGTGAATTTGGTAATTCTGGAATACACACCAGGTCTCATAGCCTGGGCACAACCAAATCCCCAGCTCACGATGCCAGCAAGGTAAAACACTCCTGGGGTAACCTCACAGGCCAAGGGTCCACCTGAATCTCCCTGCAGAAGAAGCAAGGCAATGGCTGCTCAGTCCAATCAGGTCTGCCCCTCAGACACACCAGAAGGACTTAACTACCCCCAACTCTTCTTTCTCCAGCCTTGTGGCTCTGTCAGCTGTCATGGAGTGTGTATGCAGGGCATGAGTGTGCAGAAGTTGAAGCTAGGGTCAGTGGCTCAACCTGGCTCCTGTCAGCACATTTACACAGCTGCCACCAACTGCCACTGACTCGCTGCCACAAGAGACCTGCTTCATCCAGGATTTGTCTGGCCAGACAGAGTGGTGGGATGTTGGTTTAAGCCATTGGTGGAGCTTTGTTTACTTTTCTGGCTCTCCAAAGTAGTGGGCTGGGGCTTTTTGTGCTCAAGTACATGTGAATTACACAGCTGGATTACAGCAGCTCAGTAAATATTTCGCAAGGATCTGCTGAAGGCAGAGTTAGTTCAGCTTTCTAGAACAATCTACAGAGTAGAGAAATCCCACCTGGCATGAGTCTACCATCCCTTCCATGAAGCCAGCACAGATCATTCGATCAGTGAGGGAGAAGTTGTAGAGGAAGTTGCAGGTGTTCTGTTCTATGATGCCCACAGTTGCTTTCTGCAGGATCTCAGGCTTGGTGTCTGCATGAAAACCACAGAGTCAGTGACTGCAGCAAAGGAAAGGAACTAATGGCTTTTAGACTGACTCAACACGTATTTTGGGAAAACAGGCTCTAATCCCACATGGGAATCAAGTCCTATATAATCTGTTTTCTCTGCAGCCCTGAAGCTTGTGGCTCACACCAGGGTGCAGTTTTGTCTGTGCTAAGCATTCGGCTCACAGTTTGTGTCCCATGCTCCTGCAGAGCAGACTTCTTGTCAGCTGGACTTCTTTGGTAGCACATGCCACTCTCAGGCCTTTTCCCTATAGCTGGATCTTTGCTTATGCTCATTGCTTGGAACACCTCTGTGACTGAGAGGGGCTGCTGTGGCTGACATACCATCCTGCCAGGGCTGCAGCAGGCTCTGAGGCAAGCGCCTGACACTTGCTTAGCATGGTAGAGCTACTGAGGGCAGTCCAGGGTTTCTCCTGGTTCCCACCAAACTACTCTCTCCATTTTCTTCTTTGCTGGTGACTCCTAGGTAACTGTGGTTTAAGGTAGTGCTCTGTGTGCCTTTATTCTTATGTTTCTATCAGTTCCTGGCTTTTCCTTTTACTGATCCCTGTCCTATACATTCCCAGGACTGTGGGTCACAGTGGCACAGGCTTTGCTGCTCAGGGTATCACTGCTCCAAGGCAAATCAGCAGGTAATGCATTACTGCTTACCATTCCCTTCCTGGAGGTCACCCCATCCAGAAATGAGGCATTTCTTGCCAACAGGAAACTTCTGCACGGCAGGTGGGAGGCACACAGGCTGTATGTATTTGTTGAAGGTAAGAGGTCTTGCCAGTTCAAGTACAGCCACATCAAAGTCCAGAATCATGGAGTTGAAGAGGGGATGTGGGATCACTCTTGTTACATTGACTTTCACTGCATTCTCATCTGTTCCATTTAGTGATGTTGTTCCCACATAGGCTTCGATCTCTTCTGGCACTGTCCTGCAAATACATAAACTTAAATGTGCATACTCACACACTTATGCCTGGCATGAATTCTGACATTAAAATTGCAGCTTTACATGATCAGCATGCAGCAGAGCAGCCCTGCTAAGTCAGGCCCAAAGAACTGTTTCCAGAAGTGGCACCTTACAGCAGTGGATATTACCTGAAGAGCAAATAAATATGTAAGAATAATCCTCTCTTCACGTCCAGAAATTTGTGATTTTGTGTTCTGGCACACAGGTAGTGTCTCTGTATTCAGTAGGTCTTGCTTGATTTTTTTGGTATTATTTGGATTTTTCTAAAGTTGTGTTTTGTTTTTTTTTAACTCCAGGTGAATTTTAAATATTCATTTTAATGACATTTATTTTAAAAGCTGCTTCCTTTTGACTGTTTTCCACCTGCTCTTGGTGATTATTTAGTATCTTAAAAAGACAGTCAAAAGACATTCCCTAAACACTGTACCGTTCATTATTGTACAGTCCCATCAAACATTGCCTTCCTGTTAGTTATTTCTTTTCCCAGGTCTAGTCTGATCTATTTTGTTGTGCTTGTTGTGATGCTGCTCCACACCCAGCTCATCCCTGAGCCTTGTGTACACATAGTGTTACTCTTGCCCTCCCTGTGATGTTGGAGCAGTTGATGTGCTGTGCATTACCAGCAACATCCTGCTCATCTCCCTTGTTTTTTTACTGCATTCCTGTGCTTGTTAACTGCCCCGCCACAAAACTGCTGCTCTCAGGGCAATATCCACGTTTTTGACCTCTTGCTTTGAATCGCAACAGCTGATGGAGACTCATCCTCATTCACAGGCAGACACTGCTGCTTTTGCTGTGTGCTTCATTTCACACTTGCCTATCTTGCATTTCACTTGCTCCTTTATTGCCCAACTGTTTAATGCATGAAGTTGTCTTAAAATCCTTCAGAGTTAGTAACCCACCTTTTCTGCCTTCAGGAATTTATTCTTGACAAGCATTATCTTCTTGCTACTAATTTCTTTATCTAGGCTACTTATAAATAAGGGCTTGGGTTCTTGCAGTTTAACAGAACTATGCAGGATTGAACTGACCATTTTCCCTTTACCAGCTGACCATGTGTCTCTATTTCATATATTACAGACAATTTTTTAAGGTTAAGTTTATTAAAGAAACTCTTGTGGCACCTTCTCCCACTCCTCTTAGATGTGTTGTCCTTGCTCCCTGCTCAGTTGCTTTAACCTTTCTCTGCCTCATTCCAACCTCCACACACACTTCTTTTTACTGTGAATATTTAATTATAGCAAAAATTAATGTCCAACATGCTTGGACATGTGTTCTTGATTTCCAGTTCTTGGCAGGAGTGCCACACTGTGGATTTGGCTGTGCAGCTCTGTGCCAGTGGGCAGGTCAGCTGGAGCAGGGGCAGGGATGGGCTCTTACTCATTGAAGCAGTGAGCTGCTGACAGCAGCCAGCGGTCTCCAATGATGGTGGCTCCACAGAAATGTCTTGAGTCTTCTTTCAGACTGACTTGCCAAGGGATCTCTCCTCTGGAAGCATCTGTTCCTCCCACAATCTTGCTGGGTTTAGAGAAGCCGGGTCGTCCTCCACACTCTGAACAAAAGTCAAAGCATGACTTGTGAGTATTCCTAGCAGAAGAGAAGAGACTTTGCTCTCTCTAACCAGTAAGCCTTAGCAGGAACAGGTTAGGGCTGAGATGTAAGACAACTACCCAAGCCCTGTCGGCTGGTAGTGGCAATGCCTGATGGTGGCCATGTACAGCTGGACTTTCACACAAACTGCTGTTCTGCATCTTGCTCTTGGCAAGTCATGAATCCTGGGCCTTTCTTGAAGGCAGAGTAATCATTAGCTCCATGCCTCTTAGCCTTGCCATTCCAGATAAAAAGTTTATTCTAGATTTAGAAAAATACCCTTCATTTTCATCTCCTTGCAAAGTTGCTGGGAGGGCTCCTTGGAATGGAGAGCTCATCTTGCAGACACCTGCCCTCCTTCCTTTCAGGGAGAGATGCATGGCTGCTGTGAAGAGGCAGCCATCACTTTTGAACTGCTGGGTGCTCCTTAAGTGGCAAGCAAAAGTGATCAACAGGTAAAAGACTGTCAGATGCTGCTGTGCCTTAGTGACCTGTTCTGGGCCTGCCAGAGCAGACCAGTTACACAGCAAGATTACACAGACAGTCACAAAAGCAAAGGAGTGCATGGAACTGCAGAGGTACTGAGTGACTGCCAGGCTGCTCTGGACTGAGCCAGGGCAGCTGTATAATGTTACTTGTGCCTTAGCACTTAGGTGAAGTTGTGTGGCTCACCCTACAAAAGGTCAGCTTAGGTCAGCAGAGGAACAAACGTCATGTTTGAACCTGTACCTGCCACTCTGCCTGCCAAGGTGCACCTGCTGTGGGTGCTCATACCTCGTGGTCTTGCTGCAGTCACTGGCCTGCTGGCAGCTGGGGCTGGTGAGGTGGTAGGGGTTGCTCCGGTGGTGGTGTTGAACTCTTCAGTGTTGACCATGTTACTGTTAGTACTAAAGTGTACTGGAGGAACAGTATGGGCTATGGAGGTAGGGAAGGCAGAAATAGCATCCAAGATCCAGTCTCTGAGTTTGGTAACACGTGTGTAAACCCCAGGCCGCCTGGCTTCAGCACATCCAATACCCCAACTCACAATTCCCGCCAGGAAAAACCTGCCAGATGGTTCTTGGCAAACCAGGGGCCCACCAGAGTCACCCTGCAAGAGAAGCCAGATGGTGAGCTCTCCCTGGGGATGCACTGAGCTTGCCCTGGCCACCCTCAGCATCCCTCTACCAGCTGGAGTCTCTGTCCCTGTGTATCCTAACTCACTTCATCTTTGTTCCAACCTAGTGATGAGTGGAGCATCTCTGTGCTGGCCTTTGGGTGTTCCTCGATTTGGGCACACCATCCTGCTATAACACAGAAGCCTTGTACCTTTTATATGCCAGAAGAACAAAGGACACCATCTGTAAAATCTAGGATTTAGCATTTCTACTGCTTTAACAATTTGTTAAACCTCATAAAGATTAATCCAGCAGTCCATACAAGGCCAGATAATGGGTGTTCATTGCCTGATAAACAACCCAGGGAGACCACATTAATGCATCAGGTTTTCTTGATTTGGTCTATGGTTCCCTGGTCAGTTCTTGGTTTTTGTGGGGCCCTGTGATGGAGATGTGGTGTCTGTGAAGTTGGTAATGCCTTCTGGGGATAAGATTGCTCTAGATCAGTAATGAATACCCAGATGGGTCGTGTTCATCACTCAACCTTGAATCTTCAATTCTTGGCCCCTTTTCTGGTGTTTGTGCTGTATTTGGTGCAGAAATATGAAGCGCTACCACCAGAAAAGTGCAGATTTGCTTAGCTGGTTTCTGTTGGTTTGAAGAGTCCTACCAAACCACAGAGACAGACCTGGAAATCACAGTTCTCCTTTCTCTGTACCATGAAAGGCAGGCCTGTCTCTAGCTGACCACTTGCAGTTCCAAGATGGATAAAAGCTAACTAAAAAAACCATTCTATTGTTCACCAAAAACTGTTGTGTATGTTTTAGTTTCCACTGCTGCCTTCTGCCCATCTGGATTTTGATCTGAAGACCTGTGTGGAATATTGGTAGGGCCAGCTCTGATAACAGCTGAGGAAGAAGAGAGAAGTAGTTAATTAGCTGAAAGAGCCCCTTAAACAACAGTGCCCTGCTCTAAGCAGTAGAGAACATATCCTCATTTGTGTCTTCTGCAGTCACTGATCTGTGCTTGGGTCCAAGGCACAGCCTCAAACCTCAATGGGAAACAGTGACCATAGTGTCAGTTCTGCTTCTTGAATTCTCACTTGGTGCATACTGGGAGGAAAAAGCCTTATGCAGGCAGATGTGCTGTCTTCTCTGGGCAAAGCTTACCTGGCAAGAGTCGACTTTCCCCTCCAGGTAGCCAGCGCACATCATCCTGTCTGTGAGGACATGGCTGTAGAGACTGGAACATAGGTTCTGGTCTAGGAGCTCCACTGTTGCTTTCTGCAGGAACTCAGGTTTTACCACTGAATGGGAAAGAATGGTTGTGAGCTCAGTGCAGGGAGCCCTGCACAGGATCAGCAGCTCAGGGTGCAGCCCACTCCAGCTGGCCAGAGCAAAGTCCGAGTTCCCCTCCCCGAAGCCTTCTGCCCCACTCACACCCCACCATGTCTCCTCTGCTGCCTGCCATGCTTTGCTTACAGAAATCCTCCTTGAGGTAGCCCCAGCCAGAGATAAGGCACTTCTTGCTGGTGGGGAAGTGATGGCCAGCATCTGGCAGGCACACGGGCTGGATGTACTTAGTGAAGGTCACAGGTCTCTTCAGCTCCAGCACGGCCACATCATAGTCAGCTGTGTCAGCATTGTAAGAGGGGTGTGGGATGATCTGTGAAATGTCCATTTTCACTGCACTGCTGTCAGAGCCTCTGAGGGAGGTGGTCCCTGTGTAAGCTGCCCACATGGCAGGGTCCTGAAACCTAGAGGAGAGGCAGTGGGGGCCATGTGAGCCTGCAGCCACAACATTGTCCTGCAAACCCAAGCTGCCTCCTGCCCATCCTGCCATCCACTCCAAGAGTGATGGAAACTCCTCATTCTCCCCGTGATGGGGCTGAGTGGTGCAGTGGGAGCTTCAGCAGATGTGGCAACGTTTGGAACAGGAATGGAGGGTGGAAGGTGGCATGACTAAGACTTACTCAGTAAAGCAGTGAGCAGCAGACACCAGCCACTTCTCAGTGAGGATTGCAGCACCACAAAAGTGCTCATTGTTCTCTCGCAGGCTCACTTGCCACGGGAACTCCCCTCTGGACGCCTCTGAGCCTCCAACTATCCTGCTGGCTGTCTTCATGGCAGGGCGACTGCCACAGTCTGAAAGGGAGGAGAAAGCCAGGGCATCAGGATCCTGCCACTGCACCCCAGCAACATGCTCTTGGGGGCAAGTGGGAAAAGCTGCTTCAGCTCTGTGTGTGCTGCTGGCATATGCTGAAGCAGCAGGATAGTACTTGGAATGGCATAGGGCAGCCTTTTAACCTGCAGGCTTGGGGAGAGCACTGCAAAGCACTGGGCCATCACAGCATCCTCCCTGAAGCTCTTCTAGAACAAGAAACTGTAGAGCAGCATTCTGACTAGTTCGACAAGCTCAGCTACTGCCTCATGATGAGCTACCAGCAGCTCATGGGCATGTGGCTCTTGTCCATTGTGCTAGCCCACCAGGAAGGTGGACCTTGATACAATCCATGACAGTTAATGGGAACAAAGTGTTTCCAGGGCACAGTTTCCCTCATCCTGACGCAGCCATTTACTATTGGCTTGAAAAATCATGTCATATCCTTGGCTCTCTTCCATGCCTGAGAGCCAATGGTGTTCCACCTGTCAAGGTCTGCCAGTAGAGGGTTGTGGCCGGCCTCTATGTCCAGGAGAGCTGCTGTGGGAGATTTAGTACAGCCTGTTTGGCTGTCACATTCAGGGCTTTCTTTACACATACTGGATGTTGGAGCAGGTGACCGCCTGTCTCAAGGGCAGCTCCCTGGGGACAGCAAGGTTTGAATCACTCATGTCTTTTGTAGTCCACATAGCAACTCTACCCTTGCTTCCTCAGGGGCAACCACCATTGTATCCTTGTCCCTCTGCTCCCTGGCTGCCCCAGAGTCCCTGCAGGATGGTGCTGGGAACAGAGCTGCAGCTTGTTTTGAGCTTGCAGGCCCAAGGGCCTGCAAGGCTATGAACAAGATGGGGCCCAGGCACCTTTTGTATCTATATCCAGGCTGCTGGTGAGGAAGAGGAGGAGGAGGCTGCAGAGTGCAAGCAGTTTTTCCTGCTACCTGGCTCTTACCTGATTTCAGTCCAGGTCTGTGGGAAGACACCTTGTTGGGACCTGGGACAAAGAGGAAGGAATCAGGATCAGCAAGGGCAGGGCAGCCCAGCCTCGGGTTCTGGAGCTGTGTTCCTGGTCTGGGGCTGCCATAGGCTTTGCTGCATCTTCCTCTCCTGCCTGGCTATCTCTTTGCCCACCTGTGGCCAGTGTGAGGTGAGGCCCAGGTCCCTACTGGGGACCTCTGCTCTGCCACGGGGCAGGGGAGGAGCAGCTCCCTACTGCCCTGCAGGCTTTGGGGTGACTCCACGTGCAGAGAGAAATTCCCAAAAGCTGTGGCAGTGAGCTGACTCTCAGGAGCAGACTGGGGCTGAAGCTATGCAAGGCTGTTTGCCTAAAGCCAAGAGGACTCTCAGCACCTTCCAAACACCTTCCATTTGGGCAGCACAAGGCTCCCAAAGCTCCAGGGATGCTGCCCATTGTGGCAGAGGGTGCAGAGGGAGCTGCAGAGGAGCCCACACCTTCTTGAATCCCAGGCTCATGGGTTTTTTAAATTGGAGTCCTATGGTCACATGTGACTCCATCGTCACAGAGGAAAGGAGAATTTCTTGTCAGGTGGTTTCAGAGAGTAATTCAAATATGAGAAATAGCAACCTGAGCTGTAGATATTGCTACAACTCTGAGGTCTGTATAAGGGCTGCTGTGCAGGTACAGACAACCCAGCCATTAGCCTCCTGGAGCTTTATTTGCTGTCCCTCAGACTGATTCCAGGTGCTGCAAGAAAAGCCAGAGCAGTTGCAATTTATGCTTTAGCCTCTGTCGTTGCTGTGGGCCCCTCATGATGCTCTTGCAGCACAGAGCAGCAGGACAGCGTTAGTGTTGGTGGGGTATTTGGGGACCCCATAAATATCTGTTAAGCAGCAGCCAAGATCTAGGCTGGTTTCTGCTGTTGTCTGGTGAAGCTGGAACAGCTGGGAGCCAGGTAGATCATTTTAGCACTTTGCTGGGTGACTGGCAGCACCCCCATTTCTAACACTGCTGCTGGGCAGGAAGCCTTGACTAGACATCCAGAGCTAAAGGCCTGCAGGAGTTTGGCCAAGACCAACAGTGGCTTAGCTGTGTGACCTTGGGTGCCAGCAGCCACAGCACAGGGGAGAGGCAGCAGGGCCATACCTGTGAGAGAAGCTGAGGAGATGGTCCCGTAGGCAGTCAGGGAAAAACCCTGCCTGTGCAGGGCAGCTGCCAGCCCATGCCTGAGAGCTTCCTCCTCCAAGGTAGAGCTCAGGGGTTGGGAATCCTGCGGGGTGAAGAGCAGGCGGAAATGGACGATCACGCCGGAGTTTCCATTCCTACTGGGAGACAGAGAATTAAGGGGGACCTTGGCTTCATGGTCATTACAAGGGACAGGTTCCTGTGCCAGCTGTCTGCAGGGAACTCAAAGGAGACAAATCTTATTCTTAATATTTTGATTCTTAATAGTTTAAGGTTTCACTGGAGATGTGCTCTGGGTTGAAGTGGTCAGTTGAATTTTTTTTCCTTTGGCCCAAAGCTGTGGTTGAACAAAATTCTTTTCTTCTGCCTTTCTGACTGCATTTCCAAATGAAAGAATCCAGAACATTGTTGCAATCCCAGATGAAAATCCAGCCTTGACAAAAAACTATTTTCTCTTTGTACTAGCTTTGAACAAGAGTACAGGAGTGAGTTCACCTTCTTGGTGAGGCTTGTCAGAGTGCCCTGAAACATGAGCTGCAGGGTCTGCAGAGACAGCTGTCTACACTCACCTGTAGCCCAGGATGGTGCAACCAGTGCAACTCCAGTTCAGCTGGGAGTCTTGGAGACTGGACAGAAACTGCAAAACAAAGAGTGATGGTCACACACTTACTGGATCCCAAGGAGGTGGGAATAGATGCCTGGGATTTTGCTGGAATGTGGAGCTGTTGATGCATGGTCTCTTGTCTCTGTAAGCAGAAGCACCAATGTCCAGCTCATATGTAACCTTTTTCCCACTCTGGCTTTTAGGACATGAGGTAGTACATTCTTTTTTTATGCCTTATCTCGTTTGCAAGGAAACACACATTTCCCACTCCATGAATGTCTCTCATGGCCCTGACAGGGCCTCTCAAAGTACAGTTCAGCCCCATAGTGTACCCTGCTGATGTTTAAGAAGTCCTAGTTCTCCTCCTGCCCTTGGCATTCAGATTCTGCTGGTGCTACCACCACAGTATTTCACAAGTGTTTTTCCAGAAGGCCCGGATCAACTCACCAGCCTCTCAAGAGCAGGTGTCAGCACCCTGTAGTAGTCCGAGTTCTCCATCTGTAAGCTGCTGTTGAATGTGATTCCTTGCAGCTCCACTGTATGCTCAAAGCTGGCCTCTCCCATGGAATGGCAGGCTGCCAGAAAGGGAAGGTGTCTGTCAGAGGCAGGCAGCTTTCCTCATGGCTTTGCAACGTGGATATCATCATGTCCTTCAAATCTCCTGGTTTTAGCAGGTTGACTGTCCCTGACCTTCCCAGCTGCCTCAAGGGTGCCCTATAACCAGACTGGGATACCCAGCACATGTGCAGTAATAGCATTTTGCACTGAACTCGTTTGAACTTGAAAATAGTGGATTTTTGTCAAACCTGAGACAGAAATTCATTAACAGATGGGTACAGCCTGGCAAGCTGAGATTGGCCCTATCCTTGCAGGAACAGCCTCGGGAAAACTCTGCTGGGTCCTGAAGCCAGCTCAGAAACTATGACTGTAAAGGTGGGACCTGTCAGTCATGTTACACTGGGGTCCTCACCGGGGTGCTGGCCTGAGGTGGCATCTGGCCATGGGGCAGCAGAAGCAACAGGAGGGAGGTGGAAGAGGGAATGAGATGGTGGTCATGCTCTGGAGTGGGACAGTAAAACAGGCAGTGTTCAGTGGCTGCAAGTGGTCGAGATAGGAAATAGCAGAGGCAGAAAGGTGCAGTGACAAGAAATTTCAAAGTCACAGAGAGAGATTACAGGACAGAATCATAGAATCATGGAATTGTTTAGATTGGAAAAGACCTCTGAGATCATCGAGTCCAATCATTCCACCAGCACTGCCAAGACCACCACTAACCCATGTCCCCTAATGCCACAACTACGTTTCTTAAATCACTGCAGGGATGGGGGTTCCACTACTGCTCTGGGCAACCTGTGCCAGGGTGGGACAGCCCTTTCAGTGAAGAAATTTTCCCAATATCCAATCTTAAACTCCCCTGGGCCACCTTGAGGCCTTTTCCTCTTTCCTGTCCCTGTTCCCTGGGAGCAGAGCCCGATCCCCCCAGCTGTCCCCTCCTGTCAGGGAGTTGTGCAGAGCCACAGGTTCCCCCTGAGCCTCCTTTTCTCCAGGCTAAGCCCCTCCAGCTCCCTCAATTGCTTCTGGTGCTTCAGCCCCTTCCCCAGCTCCGTTCCCTTCTCTGGACATGCTCCAGCCCCCCAATGTCTTTCTTGTCATGAGGGGTCTAAAACTGAACACTGAATTTGAGGTGGGGCCTCAGCAGTGCCCAGCACAAGGGGGGCAGTCACTGCCCTGGTCCTGATGGCCACACTATTCCTTCAGCAGATCAACATCCCACCCAGCTTGAGTTGTCTGTGAACTGACTGAGGGTGCCCTCAATCCCCTCATCCAGACCATTGATAAAGATATTAAACAGAGCTGGCCCCAAAGTGGCCCTGAGGAACACCACTGGTCACCAGTATCCAGCTGGATGTGACTCCATTCACCACCACTCTCCAGGCCTGGTCATCTAGCTGGTTTTTACCCATTGAAGAGCACACTCATCCAAGCCATAACCAGCTAGTTTCTCCAAGAAAATGTTTATGGGAAATGGTGTTAAAGGCTTTACTGAAGTTGAGGTAGACCAGATTCAGACCCTTTCCCTCATTCACTAGGCAGGTCATCTTGTGATAGAAGGACATCAGATTGGTCAAGCAGGAAAGGAATAGAGCATATGTATCATGGGACACTGAAGATAAAGTGTTCCAAACTCACATATTGGGAATATGAGCCAATAACCGCTCTTATAGTTTTTGTTCATCGTGCAGAAAGGTGTCTGCATTTTGTCCTCAGTAGGAGGATTTTGAGGATTTTTGCAGTGCAGACCACTTCTCTTTTGGAGCTAAACTGAAAGAATGTACCTGGCTGCAGACTCACCCAGCAGGAGCCCCAGGCAGAGGGCTGCTGCGCTGCCCACCACAGCAGCAGCGGTCACCTTCCAGCAGCAGGGCCCCAGTCTCCTTCTCTGGGTGCCTTGCTCTGGCTTTATCTGGTCCATGCTTTCTGAGCAGCTCTACAGATGGGCTCTGTAATTAAAAAGAAGAGGAGGAAAATGATAAGACTGGGATGAAATTTGTCATGCCAGCTAAGGTTACCCCAGGAGCTCCAAACAAGAATTGTCCCTGAATGTGCCTTAGGCTGAAATCAGGGGATTCAAGTTGTAGGACCTGAACTCATAAACCATAGTGGCTCCTCCCTGCCTGGTTCCCCTTCTCTGTCTTCCTAGGAGGCCACCACTGACTAGTGGTGCTCATTGTGTTCATGTTCACAGTGGCCATGGCCAGTCTGATGCCTCCATCTCCTGTTCTGCACAGGCTCTGGATGAATCCTGAGCCAGTGTCCCAGCAGCACAGAACCTGCCAGGCAGCACCCTGTACCTGCTCTTCAACAGGTAGTAACCCAGGTCTGCTTAGCAGCAGGGTTTCCTGGTCCTACTGCCCACAGTGCCAGGGTGAACAGATACCTAAGCTCTTAGCAAGGGCAGACTAGCAAGGGGCCTGACGTCTTGGCTTGCTCCTTCTGCCTTAGACATCACCCCTCATAATGATCCTAAACCCAGCAAGTGTCACTAGGGGATGCTTTGGTGCTGCTCAGGAGTCATGCAGCTTAGTAACAGGTAGAAGAGTTGACCTGTAAAGTTTAGCATTTATCTCAGAGTAATCTTACAGGTCTGCAAACATGACTATACTGCAGTCACATCCTTAACATGAAACTTCTGTCTGAAAAGACAGCTGTGGAGAGAGACCTGCCTGGGACTCTGGATCGTGAATGGACCAGACCTAATTGCCACTGAATACTTCACCCTGTAGTTGTTTATGAGGCAGATTCCAGGGTGAGGTTTCATCTAGCCCAATGCTATTCCACATTTTTTGCAGGAATTTTGGAAGAATTATAAAATCACAGTGAGTGGCAAAGCCCACTACAGCATTTAGCTGAGAGCTCCCAATGCCTAGTAATGCAGAGCAATTAATATGTCCTCTGATTACAGCTTTGCTGCTACCCTGATGGAAGGAGATTCTCCTTCCCTGTGGCCAGCACTGGCACTGGTGCTTCAAGTATTTTACCTCAAGTGGTCCTGCACCAGAAGCAAAGCCCCTTCATGTCACCTTTCCTGCCACCACCTTTTCCTGGCCTTTGCTAGACTGGTTTCAGTGTGTCAATGCTTTTCATGCACTGAAGATGCTCAGATGGGATATGGTGCTCCAAGTGTGAATTAAAAATGCCAAAACCAGAAAGAATATCTGTCTTGTTTTTTTTTCTCTGCAGTCTTGCTAGTACAAGCCAGAGTATATTTGGCCTTTATTTGCACATCATCAACAATTGCATATCACTAGGAATTAAACCAGACTGTAATATTCACAGTTATTACATCATTTAGACAAGTTAGTATCTGCAACAAGCCTGATGAGACAAGGAGGGGCACTGATTTCCTGGGGTCCTAAAATGTATTAAATTACTGTATTAATATTTCTCATTCATAGGCAGAAAGGACACACAATCCTTCTGTTCAAAGTGGCAGGATGAAGCTGTCTCAGACAATTTTTGTGGTCAGAGTGGAAATCCACAGAAGTCTAACCTGCTTGGCCAAGGTTCCAGAGCTCCTCAGCTTCAGAGTGAGTTTTTTGAGTACTCAACCTCTAACTGTTGGGAGTCTCAAATTTACAAGAGACACCAGAAAAGCCTTGGCAAGGCACAATCACCTCTCAAACTTACTCTGTCTTAATATCGACAGCGTCAAGAGTATAAAATCCATACTTCCTTCCTCAGTTCCAAAGTCTGTTCTGCTGAGGGACATCTCACCTGGTCACTTGGTACCCACTCAGGCGGTGCCGTGAGAGGTTGGGCTGACACAGCAGCGATACCCTACTGCTGTAAATCAGACTGTGACTTCAGAGAAGCTGCAGAGCAACAGCCTTTTCTAATGTAAATGCATCCAGCAATGAAAGGAAGAGGAAAGGGACACAGGGAAAAGCAGTTCCCTGTTTCAGAAGAGCTTTTCAGTGTTTTCCAAGAGGCGTCAGCAGCTCTTTAAACTGAAGGTTCCAGATAAGAGATTTTAGAAGGTCACTTCTTTGTGAGGCAACAGACAGAGAGAAAGGGGAGTGGAGGGAAGAGTCTGTCCAAGATGCCTCTTTTTTTCTAGCAGACATCCAAATATTCTTTTTCAGCTGTAACTGAGCCTGGCACAGATTGGCACTGTGGCCCCTGGGTTCTGCTAACAATATCTCTGTTTACAATTCAGCTCTGGCTAGGGGAGACAAGTAGGGAACCTTATTTCCAGTGGTCCTTGTGGCCTGAATACATACAGATGAGGAATCTCTCCTTCCCCCTTTTGGTAGGTTTTGGAGTCTCTGTCCCGCTTGCAGTGTGCTGAATGTGGGCACTCAGAAATCTAGTTCAGATGTGCTGACCAGTGCAACAGTGGACTACAATGGACCTCAAAGGTAGGACAAATGCATCTGAGAAAAAAATAAACGTTGCAGACAAAATTGGCTCTGCCTTATTGTTTTTTTGACAATACAATCTTAGTTGCATGTAAAAGTCATACTACAATAAAAGGTACTTGGAACCCTTGAAAGAAGTGTGTATTGCAGAGGCATTTTAACTGGAAAGAAGACTATTTAGAGAGAGGGAACCTTTCTACTTCCCAAAACAATCAAAACTTGTCTTTGGGCTCCCTTTTAGCATATGGAAAGATTATTTTCTTTTGGTGTCAGTGGTGTGACTTAAAAAAGAATTTTAAAAGCATGTAAATGGAAAGCTCATTTTGCAAGAGCAAAATAGAAATTGCAAATTTTTTTTTGTTGAAAGATAATAAGGATCATCTATAAATGCATAGTGGAGATCTGTGGCAAGAAGCTATACACTCTGGCATAAAATCAGATGACAAAAAAGTAAATTTTGTTAGTGGAGCAGAAATTACGAGAGTATTAACAGTCATGAGTTTCCAGTAGGAATATTGAGAAGTAAAAGCACATTTATGCTTTCTTGTCAGCTTATAAATTGTGAGTGGTTATAAAATATAATGCCCCTGACAGAAGGGTGTGGGGAACTCTGACCTAAGAGAGTCCCCACACCAGTGGGGCATCTTCTCACTGTTACATTTTAGCAGAGAAGGCATGTCTCCTGTGCAGCACAGAGTCAGCAAGAGCTGTCCTCCAGACTGTCACCATCTCTGGATGTCCCTGAGGATCTGCCAAAGTACTGGGAGGTGGCCACCACCCCCAGCACTCTTGCTCTTGCAGCTCTCTTGCTGCTTGGCAGCCCAGGGTTTGTTTCCTCCACAGAAGTCTGAGTTTTGCTCTAGGACAGCCTTGAGTCATTACACAGGATTTCCTTGGAGAATGGATTTTATTTCTCAGCTGGTTCGAGTAAGGAAATTGTAAAATACAAAATGATATTGAAAAAATAATCCTTTGCCTAATTAGCCAAACTGTCATTAACACACCCACGCTTCTCATCAAGGAAGACAAGTAGCAAGTGTGTATGTGTGTGATCCCATGTGTGTGTGTGATAACATGTGTGTGTGTGATCCCATGTGTGTGTGTGATCTCACGTGTGTGTGTGATCCCATGTGTGTGTGATCCCATGTGTGTGTGATCCCATGTGTGTGTGATCCCATGTGTGTGTGATCCCATGTGTGTGTGTGATCTTACGTGTGTGTGAT